ACAATGCAATATAAATTATACGTGGGTTCGTGTCCTTGCTAATGATATGAGCATGTCACGTTAGTTCGTCGGTGATATTAGTCCCATTATCTAGAAATGCAAACAAACCGAAGCAAATCGAACCGATTATTTAGCACCAGTTCCTAAAAAGGATAAAAATACGTCAAGAACAACAATGACACTTCTTCAATACTTCCTGTTTGTTTACCACATTGTCTTTTAAAATTAGCGGCGCCGGTGGTGTAGTGGTAAGCATGATTACCTCTCACCCCAGCAGGCATGGGTTCAATCCCAGTTGGCACCGCCGGGATGCTCTGAGGCATAACATCTCTGATCACGGCTTTCTTCGGAAGGGAAGTAAAGTCGTTGGTCCCCGGTTCATGAGTTGATGGGTCGATAGGTAGGGTCCAGGTGTGGGAGCTGCCTCCCTGGCGTCGGTAGCATTGGTGCTCAGCACGGAAAATAAGATTGACGGAAAACAAATCAAAGAGAAGTCTTTTAAAATTTCCCCTTCATTTTCATGTTTTGAAAAAAAAATTCTCTTCAATTTGCTGCACTTTGACAAGCATTTTGAGTTAGTCTGGACTCCCTAAATAATTATCATACTTTAAACGTACTATTTACCACAGTTTGGGCTAGACAAGGTGAATTGACATGGATGGAGCGTTATATCAACAGCTCTGGTCCTCACAAGCTCCAACCTCACGTTTCAACGGGTCAAGACCGATCGCCGGTGATCTCACATAAAAACGGATCGTAGTGATAGCAAAGTGAGGAGGCAGTCCCACTATGGTATCGCGGCCCTACTGCGTTACCTGACTTATAACGAATATACTATACGTTGTTTACGAGTTCCCCAAATACAACGTATAGTTCGTCTAATTTTACATTGCAAATGCTATGCAAAATTAGACGAGTCATTCGTTGTATTCGTGGTACTCGTATACAACGTTTATTCGTTATAAGTCAGGTAACACATAGTAGTTTGTTTCCACGGAAGTCCGTAGGCCCCCATGGATTTTTTTTTTTATTTATGTAATTAAACATGATTTGTAATCCATATTTTCCACTAAAAGCTGGTTATAAATAAAGCTAGATGCAGGTTTCAAAGCACATTCGCGTCCCTGGAGATCAGAACCAGAAACTGTTGATATCAATTTGTTTATTATGCTTTAACGAGTAAATAAGTAAATTAATTCTGCACAAACACATCCCTCGTAGTCTGTTTTCAAGATTACCAACATGTTTAACTTATTCCTCTATGCAATTTGAAAGCTGCATAAATACCCTTCAATATCGACAACTAAATATCCAAAGTGTTATATTGCAACAGAAGCTTGAACAGATGGCACTTTTTCAATGGTAGTAAAACTGACATTTCAGGCCAAACAAAGAACTTCTACTACAAATTTATACATAGATTTTAATATTTATTCCCACTGAGCAAGAAGAAAACGGTGATTGTTGCTAGATCACGCCAAATGGTTCGATCTATCACTTTAGTGAACATTGTTGAAGCCTTCGGATGTATGTGCCACGAAGTAGAAAGAACCATAAAAGTGATAGAAACTGTGCTTGACTTCTGCCCAAGAACGCTAGAATAGTGAAATATTCTTAGAAATGTTAAGCTAAACTACTTGGAGCGCTTGTTTTCTTTTCACTCATAAAGCCTTTTGCTCGATAGGGTTAGCTTGTGGAGTGATCTGCCAAAAAACATTTAAACCGGCGTTCCACAGTGGCGGTTATTAATTAGCTACACAGTTAAAAATGCGTGAAAATTAAATACAGGCCCAGTGCATTCAATTATACACGTTGCACAGGTATCAAACATGCGTCAACGTGGGTTTTTGCTTAGGTTTTGGAAAACCTCGAAAGCACACGGCATCGGCGTACATCGGCCGACCCCTACATGGGAAAATAGTGACAGTTCCCCATACCTAGTCATCATAAACGAGTACCACTTGGTTGCACATCATTCTGCTTGAATCTGAAAAGATGTAAAACAGCGCTGCTTTCCTGCCTCTGCTCATTACCGCTTCGGACGGCGTATATGCGGATATTGTACTAGCACTGTGCGCAGCCAGCCAGCATAATGTAAGCAGGGCATCAGCGTCTGTGCTAGTTTCTAGTATACTAGCTCTAGCTAATCCACACAAATTTAAAGATTCCCTAGAGAGGCTGTTGGTAATTGTCCCATACCACTTTAAATTTGTTTGCATGGTCAATTTTCTACGCAGGGGATCGATCACCTTGACAACCAGCGATGTCGAAGGAGAGACGGTAACTAGTATGAACGAGGAAATTATGAGCTCAGCTTTTTGGCTCAGCTCTGGTACTATCTTCGGTCCCAAGCTAATCTATTCTCCCCTCGAAACATAGGAAAATCCACTAACCCCTCATTTTATCTGTCAAACTTTCATAGCGAATTAAAACAAACATAGTGTAGTACTAGAATTTTGACTAGAATGGGGTACGTTAATCGATTTGCTTGGGACCAATAGGTTAGTCAAGTAGTGAGCTAATTTAAAATCGTTAGTTTCGTATTGATTGTTGGTAATACTGCGGTCGTGTCTAGGACACAACCCTTTATTTTTTATTTTATAGTGAGGGCACAGACAAACAGACGTAACTCTTTGAAAAACTTGTTCTTGAAAACATAGTATCTCAAAACATATAACTTCAGTAACGACATCTATCTGGCTTCTCGCGGAAAACAAGCTTGCCCGCTAACTCGTAAACAATATTGCATAAAATTTCTATAGAATATATAGAAACGTCAAAGTGATCCGATGCCAGCGCTGCGGCGAGTAGTTCGCGGAACTGATAATATTCAAATCAACCGTTAAATGCATGAACGAAGATACACAATGAAGAGTTACGTCTGTTTGTCTGTGGTGAGGGGTTTCACGATTGTCTACGGTCCATACAAATTTCCAAAAAGGAGGTTCTAAAACGGTCTATATACCCAAGTAACCAACAAGCCCTCTAATTCGCCTTTTTGCAATATAAGGCTAATAAGCGGCTAATATAAAGCTTAATTTTAAGCTAATTAGCATACCCTATGTTAGCCGTTTCTTGTATCGCAAAAAGGCGAATTAGCGGGCATGTTGGTTACTTGGGTAGTTTAGGAGCTGTCCCATCTGAAAGGTTGTAATAAACCTGTTTATTACATGTTTTAAATTTCAATACTTTGGTTATTTAATTATTAGTGGAAAATGTGTCACTTTTAATAGTTGGTGTATATAGGTCCTTATTTATGTTTTTATCGTCAGACCTAGTACAACACCTGTTGACAGGAATATGTACTAAATGTTTGTACTAAAACGATAATATCATAAGTATAAATTTAGGGGCAAGAACATTATTTGTATCGTTCTAATTTACTAGAATAAAAATCCAAACCGGAAACCAAAAATTTAACCAATCAGAATTCAGTAAACATAAAACAATAGAAGGGGGCCAAATAGAAGGGTTTGAGCGAAGACAACAAATCAAGAAGACTGACAACTTTGCCAGAATCCAAGCGACAGATACAGTAGCGCTACGCTTGAGTGAAGGTGGAAGCAACGTATAGAAAAATGAGCAAATACACAAACCTTTCTTCTGAGGATGTAATCTTTGCTATCATATTCGTTCGAAGCATTTAACTTTGAGCGGCAAATGACGCGATTATACCTGTCTCATAGCGTTCGTATGAGAAAATGGAAGAGTTGCCAGTCTTCTTGATTTGTTGTCTTCGGTTTGAGTGAACCGAAAAGCGCAATCAGAGTAAATCTGGTGGAAACCGTTGACGAGATAAGGTGGAATCATTTCGAGACCAAAATTGTTTCGCGTGTATTTGATCTTGAATGGTTGAGTGAGTTTAAAGACAGTCGCGTGATAATAAAATAATTCTAATTCGTGTTTTTTTTGCAAATTCATTGATTAAGTGTATGATAAAGTTGAAAAGAGTGTCAAGCAAAGTCGATCGGACTACAAGGTAAGGATTTATTAAAAGTAGTTTGAGTGCTCTTTCGCGAATTAAATCCTTTAAAAAAACTCTGAATTTTGCATTTCTTAATTAATTAGTTTGGTAAATAAATTAGAATTAGGATCGATTAATTTCTATTGCTAAGATTTGGTCGTCTGAATATGATTTTGAGTGAACGACAACGCATCTCCATTATATAACTCGAATTTTGTTTGGAAGGTTCTTTTTTAGCACTTTTCTGTGGTTCTGATTAGTTTCTTTTGCTATATATTTTAATGGTTTGAAATTGGTTTCCTTTATTGTAACCATCCACATTCGTTTCCATAGTTCAGCTCGGGAGAACATTCAGGGTTACAAGGTAAATTCTTCTTTTGCAAACTATCTTTCATGCACATTAGGTTGGTTCAAAATAACGATTTTGCTCCACTAAGCTCGATAGATTCTAAATCAAGTCTTGATAATTCTCCCAAAATTTGAGTATATTTGGATGCGAACTTATACTGCACTGCCTCTTTGACTACATAAAAATCTTTCATATGATTGATGTGATCCCATGAGAATTTAAAATAAACTTTTCTGACATTTATATTTTGTACCAGTTTACCCGGCCATGTATCGGGAGCTCCTAAGGTAGTGAATAGAATTTGAAATGAGTTAAAACTTATCTTTGTCCCTCAAAGTTCAATTAAACCTATTGTCCATTCGTACGTAATATCTAAATCATTGATCTATTTTGTATAACCACTACATTTTTTTTTTTTAATAACGGGTGTCCACTAAAAATGAGATAAAAGAATGGGTCGGGAAAAAAAACACCAGTGAAGTTTAGTTCAAACTAAATCATTTCATACAAAGGGTCTTCAAACTGAGCTTAGTCCATCCAGCGGCATTGGGATCTCACGGTTTGGATTTACTCGTCAGTGTACTCTAGGGATCTGGTTTTCTTTGTACACACTATTCCCTCCTTCCTGTAATTGCAGATATGTGACTTTGAGCTACGGAACTTTCTGGTCGCTTCCCGTTGACTTACCGAATCCTTGTTGTTGGACATGTTATGCAGCGAGCAGAGCGTCTTATGATTCATTATCTTCGTTGGACGGCCGCTATCTCTCTTCCGGGTTACTGCCATGGATGTCAAGATACGTTTTTGTTGTAGCTGAGAAAACATTCCTTAAGAATAGCTTCTTAACTATTGAACTGTGCAATATGGAAAAAAGCAAGAGGACAATGAACTAAAAGTTTTTTTCTTCTCCATAGTAACTTCCATATAAACTTCAAATGGTTTGTGCCAAGTCAGTTGTTTTTCAAATGAGTTTAAATTTAGGAAGGCTAATTAGGACCTGATTTGGAACCGATTGAGCACTGTGGAGCGAAAATTTCAAGAATCCCCCTTTTGATGAAATTAATTTGAGAAATCCATTTGATTTGCTGCAACGGAACACATCATAGTCCTTGTGCCTTGTTGATAGTGATAAGTCCTCGGGTTACCTGGACCGAGGATGATCTTGAAACATGGAAAAAATGAGTTAGTTAGTCTTCATCTATGTGATTCCTAATCTTCTATTCGTTATTCCCTAGTTTGAAGTGGTTAAGACTAGGGTTCTGATGCATGGTCACTATCGGTGTCATTCTTTAATTTTGTTGCGAAGGAATCTAATTTTGACTGACAAAGGGGCGCGCCTTTGGAGGGTGTTCCAACACTCCGAAGGGTATAAATAGCGGAACCTTTCAATTAGAATCGATTCCTTGCGATGAAGGCAAGAATGACAACTGTATCAAAACCGAATACTTCATCATTTCTCAAGTGATGAAGTAATACGACATGCACTAAACTAAGGACACGGGATATACTACAATAGATCAAATTACTGGTCGCAGTAGTTTTATGTCTCGAACAGAGGAAAAAAATGTCTTCTCAAGTATCTTACTGAGATGCAGCATTATTTCTTTTACTTACGACAGCAAAGCTGAACGTGTGTTCAAGGTTGCCATGACAGGACTGCCCAGTGGCGAATCTCTGGATCAGATCAAATATGAACTGGCAAAATTACTTGCAGTTGTGGCAATCCATGTAATCAAAATGAAAATGAAGTCCTGTCCTGGGGATTCACGCAACGGGATTTCTAATGATTTTTATTTAGTTCACTTCAAGTCTAGTGAACTTAACAATCTTAAGGCCTTGGAAAAAGCTAGCCTTATGCTCCATGTCCGAGTGAAGTGGGAACACTTCAGGAAGACTGGAGGAAATTTCCAAAACCTCACCCAGTGCCGTAAATGCCAGGGACGGGGTCACGGAACTAAAAATTGCTACATGCCAGCTAAATGCATGAATTGTGGTGATTCCTCTTACACAAAGGTCGGCTGTCAGGCGAAGGAAGCTCTCAAGAAATTTAAATGTTCAAATTGTGATGAAACCACAAATCCAATTTTTGGAAATGTTAGACTTGCAAAGCGATCCTACAATCTCGTTCTAAGCGACATGTAGGAAACGCTCCACGTTTCCGACCAGGTACATATCCTCTGCTGTTAACAACGGCCAGCGAGAAACAAATTCTATATTCGTACCCGTAGGTACAAATATCACCCCTGCTTCAAATTCTTCATCTATACCTACTCCCCTCGCTGCTAACAATGTTCAGCGAGTAAATGGAGCTACCATAGAGGTAACTAAAACCAGAAGGTCCCGAAGAAACGAGCTTAACTTTTTGGCTCAGCTCTGGTACTATCTTCGGTCCCAAGCTAATCGATTCACCCCTCGAAACATAGGAAAATCCACTAACCCCTCATTTTATCTGTCAAACTTTCATAGCGAATCAAAACAAACATAGTGTAGTACTGGAATTTATACTAGTATGGGGTACGTTAGTCGATTTGCTTGGGACAAATAGGCTAGTCAAGTAGTGAGCCAATTTAAAATCGTTAGTTTCGTATTGATTGTTGGAGCTACCTATGCTGCTATTGCAACGGGTAGAAATCAAAATACTTACCAACGTAATCCTAACGGAAATTTTGAAAATTTTGACTTTGCATTACTGCTCCTAAAATGGAATTTTTACAGAAATCATTAATTGAAATAATTTTTAATTTACTGATATGCTTAAATTTAACTCCATGTTTGATGCTATTCAAACTGGAGTAAAATTTGCGAACAATATTGTCATGACTTTGAAATTCAGCAATGGATTTTAAATCATAAAATGTTTTAAACTGGAATGCTCGATCTCTTAAAGATAATAAAGACGAGTTATTTAACTTTTTGAAAGTTCATAACGGGCATATTGCCGTTATAACTGAAACGTTCCTTAAACCTGACCATAAGGTTAAAAGGGACGCAAATTATTTCATTTATAGAAATGATCGTCTTGATGGAGCCTGTGGTACCGTTTCCATCATTGTTCATAGACGAATCAAACATAAAATTCTTTCTTTCATTAAAACAATTGGGAGTTTCTGTTGAAACAAAATTTGGACAAATTATAGCTGTCTATCTGCCATTCCAATGCGTAGGCCAGCAAAAGAATTTTCTCAAGGGTGACCTCCAGAAACTTACCCGTCATAGGTCTATATTCTTCATTATTGGTTATTTTAATGAAAAACACTGCTCATGGAATAATGCTCAAAGCAATTCCAATGGTAATATTCTGTTTGATGATTGTTCTGCAGGTTATTACACTATTCAATATCCAAACAGCCCAACATGCTTTTCTTCTGCAAGAAATCCCTCCACTATTGATTTGGTCTTAACTGATTCATGTCAACTTTGTAGCCAATTGGTTACCCATGCTGACTTCGGTTCTGATCACCTTCCAGTAACTTTTGAAATATCCCAAGAAATAATTTGTAATCCCAACAGCTCTACTTTCAATCACCATAGAGCTGATTGGGAGCAATATCGAACATTTATGGAATATAACTTCGATCCACACATTTCTTTGCAAATCAAAGATGAAATTAATTATGCTCTTGATTCTCTGACTACTTCTATAGTTGAAGCAAGAGCTGCCTCAGTACCAAAATGCGAGGTTAAATTCGATTCAATTATAATAGACGACGATCTTCAGCTCTTGATCCGTCTTAAAAATGTCCGTAGGAGACAATATCAAAGAACACGCGATCCTGCCATGAAAGTTATCTGGCGGGATTTGCAAAAACAAATTAAAAAGCGATTCTCTGCCCTGAGGAACAAAACTTTTGAAAATAATGTTTCTAATTTAGACCCGAGTTCCAAACCCTTTTGGAAACTCACAAAATTTTTGAAAAAACCTCAAAAGCCAATTCCAGCGCTTAAAGAAGGTGGTAAAATTTTGATCACAAATTTGGAAAAAGCTCAGAAACTTGCTAAGCAATTCGAGAGTTCCCATAATTTCAGTTTGGGTCTTACTAGTCCTATTGAGAATCAGGTTGCTCGGGATTTTCTAAATATTTTCTCTCGGCAAAATATTTTTGATGATTCCTGGGGGACTGATTTGGACGAAGTAAGGTCTATAACTAAAAAGTTTCATAATATGAAAGCTCCAGGTGATTATGGAATTTTCTATATCCTCATCAAAAAACTCCCAGAGAGTACCTTGTCTTTCTTGGTAAAATTATTTAACAGATGTTTCCATATTTTCCTAATAAATGGAAAAAAAAGCAAAAGTTGTTCCAATTTTGAAGCCGCATAAAATCCAGCTGAAGCCTCTAGCTACCGTCCAATAAGTTTGCTTTCTTCAATAAGTAAACTTTTTGAAAAGATAATTTTAAATAGAATGATGCTTCACATCAATACGAACTCAATGTTTGCAGACGAGCAGTTTGGATTTTGCCATGGGCATTAGACTGATGTAAAATTTGAAAATTTCGCTCCACAGTGCTCAATCGGTTTCAAATTGGGCCCTGATTGGCCTCCCAAAATTTGAACTCATTTAGTGAGAAACTGACTTGGCACAAACCATTTGAATTTATATGGGAATTACTATGGAAAAACCAGGAACAAAAGTTATTAATGATTCAAGTCACTGATGTCTTATGATTATGCTCAATCAACTGTTCAGCAGGCAACATTGGTGTTTATGGCGCGTAGAATAGAGGACAAAAATCATGGTCACACTGCAGAATACAGTGTTGCCCACATTACAGTTGAACAATTAACAACTAATTAATTAGACGTTTGGTTGAAAAATGATTTTCTGCAAAGTTGTAGCTGATAAAAAATCCAATAAGAATAGCAATAGAATTTGTTAACAGTACAATATGTAAAAAGGTTAGAAGACAATGAACAAAAAGTTTTGTTTTCCCATAGTAATTTCCATATAAACTTCAAATGGTTTGTGCCAAGTCAGATTCTCACTAAATGAGTTTAAACTTTCGGAAGCTAATCAGGACCCGATTTGAAACCGTTTGAACACTGTGGAGCGAAAATTTCAAATTTTGCATCAGTCTAATGGGCATTCCACTACTCATCAACTCTTAAGAGTTACCAATTTAATTCGTTCAAACAAATCTGAAGGCTACTCAACTGGAGTTGCTCTTCTAGACATAGAAAAAGCATTCGGCAGTGTTTGGCATGAAGGTTTGATTGCTAAATTGAAAAAGTTTAATTTTCCTCTTTACATTATGAAATTATTTCAAAATTATTTAACTGACAGAACTCTGCAGGTAAATTATCAAAATTCCAAATCTGAACGACTACCTGTTAGAGCAGGAGTTCCTCAGGGTAGCATTCTTGGGCCTATAAAGGGTGAACACGAAATTATTGCGACACATTCAACAGGGCATAACTTTTTTACCATTGGGTAAAAATCAACCAAATTTTGCACACTTTCTCATTGATGTGTATTGTGTACATGCTGTCAAACTCGAAGTCGTGTTTTTCGATTCAACGAAAATGGAGGTGAACCAACGCGAGTAGAGAGAACAAATTCTTTCCAAACACCTGGAATTTCCTGACCTGTCGCACCGGCAGTTGGGAAAAATGTTGAACATTCACCATTCAACCGTCTCTAGAGTGTTGAAGCGGTTCCAGGAGCGGTTGACGTTGGACCACGGCAAAGGAGCTGGAAGAAAACCGGGACCGGAGAACAAAAAGACGGAGGGAAAGGTGAAGCGGATGATTAAAGCAAATCCCAACGTCTCAAGCCGTGATTTGGCTAAAAAGATCGGCATGTCGCAGAGCTACGTCCAGAATGCAAAGAAGAGAGCTGGACTACATACATACAAGGTACAGAACTTCCCAAACCGCCATGAGCGGCAAAAATCGACGGCTAAAACTCGGGCACGGAAGCTCTACGAGAAGATGCTGACAAAATATGGCTGCTGTGTGATGGACGACGAAACGTATATAAAAGCCGATTTTAAGCTCCGGGGTTGGAGTTTTTCATCGGCAAGAGCAAGTTCGATGTGGACGACAAATTTAAGAAGAAGAAAATGTCGAAGTTCGCCTCCAAATATCTCATTTGGCAGGCCATCTGCTCTTGCGGACTGAGGAGTGAGCCTTTCGTGACAAAGGGCACAGTAAATGGCGAGATCTACAAATCTGAGTGCCTCGAGAAGCGCCTTTTGCCGTTCTTGCAGCAGCACGACGAAGCTCCGCTATTTTGGCCAGATTTGGCATCATGTCACTATTCTAAAAGTGTCCTGGAGTGGTATGAGGCCAATTCTGTCCATTTTGTTCCAAAGGACATGAATCCGCCAAACTGTCCGGAGCTGCGCCCGGTGGAGCAGTACTGGGCAATAATGAAGCGGAAACTTCGGAAGAGTAAGAAGACAGTCAAAGACAAGAGAGACATGTTAAGAAAATGGAAAAAAAAAAACACTGAGAAACTGGTACCGGATGACACTGTAAAGACTTTGATGGAGGGCATCAAGCGAAAATGCGTTCAATTTTACACTCAAGGCTCCATCGATTAACTTTTCTTTTGATTTTTGAAGTAAATATATGTATAAAACTACCCCATTGTTCGCTGATGACACAGGCATTTCCGCTGAAGGAAGAAGTCTTCGTGTTATTTGCAGCAGACTGCAGAAAAGTTTAGATATTTTCTCTTTTTATTTACAAAAATGGAAGATTTCTCCCAACGCTTCCAAAACTCAACTTATAATATTTCCACATAAGCCTAGAGCTTCCTTTTTGAAACCTAGTAGTAGTCGCATAGACACTATGAACGGAGTTTCAATTTCCTGGTCAAACCAAGTGAAATATCTTGAACCAAAAATAACTTTTAAAGATCACATTGAGGGTTTCAAGCCAAATGTAACAAACTTTGCCTGACGAATAAACTTCTAATATTTAAACAAGTTTTTAGACCGGCCACTTCAAAGGATTCAGAACAAAGTTCTGAAGATGATTTTGAAGCTGCCTCCCTGGTACAGTACTACCGAGGTACATAGAATTTCGAATGTTGAGACTTTAGAACAAATAATGTCCAACACAATAACTAATAATTTCAGGTGAAAATCGTTGCAATCCTCAATTGCAATGATTATTTCCCTTTATACTTAGATAAGATTTAGTGTTAGGTTTTAGTTTTAAGATGTAAATTGTTATACTGACATGCAGGTTTAAAAACCTGTTTAAAATACTGAATTGCCAAGACAGGAACAATGTAAAAACACTTAGATAGGGTAAATGTTGGCTTCGGCACCCATTGACTGTTTTCGGCAACCTAAATTTAAACGTCAATTTCACTATGTTTTCCCATCAACGCACTTCCCTGAATGTGTCCAAACGATTGTTTAGCCTTTCAGCTTCAATCTGATTATATTTGAACGATCGAGCAATCCAGTAATGCTACATTTTTCTTCAAATAAAGCATACGCACTACAAAATGGGGTTGATTTCGAGTTGCCGATAATAGAACAGCTGGTTAACACGCAGTTCTAATGGGAAGGTTGCCGAAGAAAAAGAGGCTGCCGACAATAGTCACACTCACCTGAGAAGTTTGGAGCGTTGTAAAAACGCTTTCAAAACGTTTTGAAAAATTCTGTCGATTGGAATGGATAGAGAAGCAAGCAGCAGATGAATGTAAACAAACAGACACTTCATATATGTGCGTGACGCTGAGAAAATGCTAGTAGAAGTGCAGACGCTGCTTAGATTGACGAGAATACGTAAATTCCCCTATATATCATAGGAATTAAGGCTGGTAAGTTACTGTAGTAACTGGAGCACCTAGGTTAAAATGAATTGTAATTTATTTTGAATTTGGAACAAATAAAGAGTTATTCAGTTGATTCTAAAAGTAGCTTGCAGGATAAGCTTGCAGGATAAGCTTCTAGAAGAAGCTTCCAGAAGAAGCTTCTTAAGAAGATTGTAAAAGAAGCTTCTGCTTGCCCGTCGCTTCGCTCCTCTCTGACTAAAACAAACACGGGCAGGTCAGGAAATATGAGTAGCTACGCGGTAAAAGAGCGTTTTCCAAGGTTTAAGGAGCATTTATTCGTTTTAGTATTACGTTTCCATAGAAGCCCGCACTAATTTTGACAAATTCTGGCCTTGTCTTGTTTTTCATGAAAGTGAAAACAGCTCAGAATCGGGATACAGGAGCTGGATAGAGCAGTCTGCGGGTCGAGTACGAGTAGGTTTTTAAGGCTAACCGCGGGTCGAGCAAATCAAGGCCGTGGGTTGGATCCTTGATCGGGCCGGCCCGGCCGTTACGCAGACCTGGTGAAAAATAATTGGCAGGACAATCCATGAAAGTGATCGAAATTTAACGAGTTATTTTTAGGATTTTATTAATTTCTCCCCTAATGTCCATCGAAAATTTTGAAGAGTGGGCGGTGAAAGGGGGGTGAAAAAAGTAAAAATTATCAAATTGTGTTCCGACCTTATTGGGATAGTAAAGATTTTATTATAGAAAAACATCGCACTCAATACTTCCACACTGAAAGAGCGTAGTACACATTTCAAACCACCAGTATCAGCATCAGTACTTTTGTAGGTATAGCAACAGCATCAACAGATCAATGGATTTATGCGCTTGAGCATGCTGCATGCGGTGCAGGAACCCAGAGAGTTGGTAAACGTCGTGAGCATAAAATGAACACGAGAGTCTGTTGTTTTTTTTTTCCAAAACGCGAAGAAGAGAAAATGTGCAGAGAGCATAGAGTCGTTTATGAGCGAGCGTATCTAGTACATACTTATTTTTCCTACCGAACCGACCGGCATGTTTAATGTTTACCACCTTTTTGCTTAACACAAACGAGATTTTATTTCAAAAGAATTTATTCAGTTAAAACATGAACAATTCCGAATTTGAATAGAGGACTTTAACGAGGCTTTTCGATTTATTGGTATTTTTACCAAATCAGACAAAAGTTCATTCAATATTCAGATAAATAACCAGTTTTCAATTTTAATTACATCTTGGCATTAATCAATCTACAGCCAGGTTGAATAAACGTTGTTTACGTCATAGTCATTTTCACAATAAATTCAACGGAGCCGCTCTCTTTCTCTAAGTTTTTCTTCTCCGAATGAGCGTGAATCTACACTAACTACACACACCCTATGTGTTCATCGTCATGCAATCTGCATGGCCTGCTGCGACCACTTTTCCACCAGTATCGTGAGAGATTTGGTCGCGAGTGGTTGGCGGTCCTGGTTGAATTTTGGTCGACTTCCTTATCACAGTGACTAGGTATTGTGGTGGCTGGAGGGGTGCATGCCTCCTCCTGAAGAGGAAAAAAGGTCCTTTGAGGCTTAGCCAATGCTGAATGAATAGTTTGGGATGTTTTTCTGCCAATTGGGATGAGGTGAATGAATGCTTAGTTTGAGTTTTATCAGTGGAACATAAGACACCGTGCGGGTAACATCTTGGATCTTGGAGAGAAAAGGAGACCGCGAGTGTGACAGAAATCAGTGAAGTTATGAATGAATAAAGATAAGATTAATTGGAAGCATTACAAATCGATTATAATTGATGAATGTGGCACGCCGCACAGTGAATGGGGCAGTGATAATAAATTGATTAAGCAGCAGAAATCAGTTTGAATAGTGATTAATGTAGTTGGTTATTGAAAACCGTCAGTGGAAGAGGCTTGAAGCGATAAATAATAAATAAAAAGTGTTGAACAGAGCGAAGAGCGGCTAAAGTGCAGAGTGTTCTTCTCGGTGTTGGCTAGAAGGTGAACCGTGGAAAGTTACGTGAAGAGGAAATCGATAAAATTTTCAACGCTGGGAAAATTAAGCGAGAGATGAAAAAGCTTTCTGGCTTGTACGTATGAGGGTGTTTCCTGGTGTTATGCTGTAGAGATTAATTTTGGGAAGAAGAACCGGGAGTAAGGAAGGAAGACCCAAGTTGTTCAAAGTGTGAGATGATTTGCATATAAATTGGATCCGAGGATAAAGTGAAACGGAAAAAGTTGTTAAATGGTTTAGTGACCGAAAAATAGTTGAATGTGTGAATTGATTAAAATTTGCTCGAAAGCTTGTTCAAAAGGATTCTAGCATGGAGGAAGAACTACGTTGTCCTGTTTGTAAGCAACTTTTCTCTGGTCCGGTGCTGTTGCCGTGCTACCATGCGCTTTGTTTAGCGTGTGCCCTGGACATCCAGACAACAGCAAACCAAGTCCATCACAATCCGGCAGTTCATTTGCATCAACAGCACTCACAGTCGTCAGCATCATCCGTTAGTACTGGTAGCTCTAGTGCCACCGAAAGCGTTTCGTCAGATCAGGATCAAGCCGACAAAGTTAGTATTTTGAGCGAAGCTGATTCAGGAGTTATCTGTTGTACTTCACGACCAGGATCATACGCAGGCACACCGAATCTGCAAGGTCTACTGTTCCCACCGTCTGGATCGGGATCGGTGTTCTCGCTCGCTTGTCCCATTTGTCGTAAGATCGTTTTCTTCGACGAGCTTGGTGCCAGAAATTTGCCGCTATATCGGGCGATGGAGTCCATTGTGGATCGCTTCTGTGAACGTGAAGCCTTGAGATGTCAAATGTGCGAAACTGAACCACCAAAAGTAGCTTCGGTTGTTTGCGAGCAGTGTGAAATACGCTACTGCGATGGTTGCCGTGAACTTTGTCATCCGGCACGTGGACCATTGGCTAAGCACACACTTACGAAGCCACGTGGCGCCTCTCAACTTCGAGAATCCATTTGCGGTGAACACAACGAACCACTCGCTATGTACTGCATGGGATGTAAGCTGCCCATCTGCAATCAATGCATGACCGACAACCGTCATCAGTCCCACGACTTGCAATCGATCACGGCGATGTGCAAAGCTCAAAAGGTAAGCGCCTTCAGTTTATTCCCATAGCTACTGACCCAACCAGTTCTCCTATTTACCACCTCTAAATAATAACATTTGATGGACAGGTATGCTGGAATGCACTTGCATTTGTGGGTTCGTGTGCGCCTTCCGCCAATATGTGCACCGATATGAAACAGCTGTCAGAGCACTTGACAGTGGCGCACGTCGCGTCATGCCGGAGTTTGCTCGGTCCTGGTTGAAGCGAAATTTGCGGATGCGCTAAATGCGTTTTTGTTTTTCTCTCCCGTGATGCACCGACGACGTACCCCGGTGCACTCAAGAAGGAGCCCGTCGTCGTCGTTCGAATAGCAACGGTAGGAACCGGTTTACGCGGCGGACGATTTTTTAACCAAACAACCGGTTTCCAAGCTGATCTTCTCCGCGTTCGTTCTTGTTTTACTCACTGTTTATGTGCCTTTCTCCTTTTGTTGTTCTCGGGTGTTTATAGACTATTAGACTTCCTTCGTGCAAACGGCAAACTATAGTATGAAGTTGTGGCCTGTCAGAATCTTGTTACATCAAAAACTTAATGGGTCAGGAGGTGGCCCGGGAAGGTGGAATGGACTGCGTATAGGGTTTCCAGGCGGAATACGAAGCTACATGATCATCGATTTTTATTAGCAAGCCTGTATCTTTTATGGTTTCCTCGATTATGATCATGCAAATTAAAAATTAATCATTTTGTTCGACCATTTTCCACAGAGATGGCGCCGTTCCGCTGGTAGGAAGTGATAAAAATCCCCATATAAAAATTGAGAGAAGTGGGAATAATTCGCTTTCGGTGCATATTCAGGTGAAAAAAAGTGAACGACAACCTAAATAAATTAATCGGGGACTTTGTCGTTTAGTTTTTCCCCGGAAATTATTGTTCAACAAGCTACAATTAATTAAAAATGATTTTTCCCATACAGTTTTACCTGCTTTACTACCAGTTCCCAGAGAGCCAAAAAATTCAAATTTTAGAGAGAAAATTTGCTCTCACGACCTCAATCTCTCAACATGCCATGTATTCTGTTGACACTCGATTTGTGATTTCCCTTTCACAGATTATAAAATAGAGTACCTGTCACTACAAAACATGTCTGGTACCTCTATATATGCATTTGCTTTAACATTTGAAGTCCCTCCTTTTTTACATATTCTGCAAAAAAGATACTTTACGCCCCGCCCCATACATAAAATTTGGCGTGAAATTCTGTGAGGGGTGAGCTATTTTGTGTGGAGAATGTGTAAAAAAGGAGGGACTTCGAATATTAACCTAAATGCATATATAGAGGTACCATACATGTTTTGCACTGCAGTGTCCTCTGTGAACAATAATAGGAAAACAGATTGTGTGTAGTTTCCGATAGATGTCACCGCAAACAACAGCTGTGACATCTGATGGAACATGAATGCAGAAGCTTGACGAAATGATTAATTGTTTGCTTGGATAAACGATGATTACATAAACATGGTAGGATGGGGTTTAGTCAACCTTTTGTAACATTTGTTAGGTCTAGTGTAACAAAAACGGTCTATAAACATAATTGACGAAAAATAAAAAAATAAAAATGCTTTCGGATATAACGCAACTAATCAAAAAATCCGTTAATTGCCCACTAAACATGCTTTTCAAAATATAGGGTTAGGAATTCCAAGCTTCATGGTAGCCGTAGATCTTCATTATAGTGCATAAGGGACTTTTACCGGAATTTTTGTTTTTGACGTAGAACTACGTCTTTGTCGACTATACTGGGGTGCAACGTGCAAATCAAAAAATATGTGTGGTGAAGGAGTGTTAGGTTTTGAACGCTTGTAACTTTGTCATTTATAGATGAAATTTAAATCCAAATACGCCAATCGATAGGATATTACATTAAAAACCTGCTGAAATAAATATTTTTCGAATTTTTCTGTAATTGAACTTTTGAAAATGTACAAATGATAATTTTGTCACTGTTTTCATGAAATAAGCCTTTTTCCCAAACCCAGTCATCATAAACGAATACCACTTGGTTGCACATCATTCTGCTTGAACCTGAAAAGATATAAAACAGCGCTGCTCTCCTGCCTCTGCTCATTACCGCTTCGGACGGCGTGGCACTAGGTCCTGCAGCAAGCAGGACTAAGTGAGCGGCTAAAGGTGGATCATGGCGTGTCCACCACAATGAGGAATAAGACTTGAAAAAACGTGCATGAAAACCCCCTCCCCCTTAACTACCTCTCCCCCCCCCCTCAACAATAACCCGAAAAAGACATGGACTTTGACGATCACTTTTTTCCGAGAAATAAATTTTAAACAAACCACAATTATTAGTAAAAACAGAAGTTTTTCCCTTAATTTCTTCCCGCACCACAACTTTCAAATTTAAGAGAAAAAAAAATTGCTTGATAGATATATTCGATAATATTATGTTGTTGAATTACACACAACTGACTGTAAAACATATCAGGTACCTCTATACATGAAATTATATTAACATCCAAAGTCCATCCTTTTTTCCATATTCTGCACAAAAGAAACGTTCTGCCCCGCCCCCATTTATAATAAAATGGCGGGAAATCCTGTCCGTTGTGGGGCTTAGAAAGTATGCTTTGTCACTCCGGATCATAGATAGAGATAGATAGATAGGTTCTACGTCATACTGCGGTCGTGTCTAGGACACAACCCTTTAATTTTTTTTTATCTTTTCGGAGTCTATTGCGACCAGTAATTTGATCTATTGTTGTAGGGGAAATGGCTCTAATGTTGGCCTATGGATCTAAGATTGGGTCCATCGCTAAAAATTAGCTATTTATCAATTTTATCTAGATGAACGCGTCATTGGGATGGTACTTATGGATATTTTTTGTCGCGATTGAAAATTTAGTCGATTGCTGAATTTATGTATGGGCCAAATTAGGGGCATTTAGGCCGACATTACATTGATTTCCCCTATATTCCATGTCCTTAGTTTAGTGTGTGTCGTGTTACTACATCACTACTCACTCGAAAAGTACATTACTTTTGTATACTAAAGATGATATGCCCTTACGAAATGTTACGCAAGAAGTATTGAAAGGTTCTGATTCTTAATGAAAGGTTCTGCTATTTATATCATTCGAAGATCAACAGCACCCTCTAACGGAGCACCTCTTTATCAGTCAACATCGGATTAATTTGCAAAAATCCTTCTTTTAACTACTTCAAACTAGAGAACAACGAACAAAAGATAAGGACACACATAGAAGACTACAAACTTAGAAAAAATTACCGACTTCGGTAATTCATTTACCGAATTCTCAACAGCTGAACGGTCGGTAATGTGTTCGGTAATCGAGAACATTACCGAAAGATATGTAAACTGAATCAGCAAAATTAGCTGTCAAATTTACCGAACGATCGGTAACGTTTACCGAAAAAACAAGCTTGATTTGTAATTGGATTTACCGGAGAACTGTAATTTTGGAGTCGATATGGAAAATGAAAATTACCGAAAGATCTGCATTTTTTTAAAAAGTCTACCGACTTAAATTTAATTTGCTTTAATATAATATAAGGTGTTTTTCGGGTTTTATCAATTATACAAATTAAATACAAATATTTAGATGAATAATTTTTTTGAGTTCATTCAATGATGTCTCTTATTCACGGGTAGAACTTGCTTCATCGCATTGAGTAGGCATTTCATGACCGATGAAAATGGTTTCCCCCACACTTAGAAAAAATTACCGACTTCGGTAATTCATTTACCGAATTCTCAACAGCTGAACGGTCGGTAATGTGTTCGGTAATCGAGAACATTACCGAAAGATCTGTAAACTGAATCAGCAAAATTAGCTGTCAAATTTACCGAACGATCGGTAACGTTTACCGAAAAAACAAGCTTGATTTGTAATTGGATTTACCGGAGAACTGTAATTTTGGAGTCGATATGGAAAATGAAAATTACCGAAAGATCTGCATTTTTTTAAAAAGTCTACCGACTTAAATTTAATTTGCTTTATTATAATATAAGGTGTTTTTCGGGTTTTATCAATTATACAAATTAAATACAAATATTCAGATGAATAATTTTTTTGAGTTCATTCAATGATGTCTCTGATTCACGGGTAGAACTTGCTTCATCGCATTGAGTAGGCATTTCATGACCGATGAAAATGGTTTCCCCGAGTGGATCGTTTCCCTTCGTGGTACTTCCGGCTGGAACAAAGCTTTCAAGTGGATGCTTTTCAATGATATGGCGTTTTAAAGAATAGAAGTTTCTATATCTTGCATCACATTTCTGATATGTACAATCAAAAATTGTGTTTGCCGGTATAAAATCTTTCTTTTTTATGTGGTCATTGATGAAAAAACAAGCAACAGCATCGGCCATCTTTAACAATGGGTATTTATTTAGATAACGAAATATCATTACTTACGGAAAATATCTACGATTCGCTCATCTTGGTGTTGCAGCTGGTCCATAACAGCCTCCATAATTGAACTTTTTATTTTTCACAAGTTTCAACTTGCAATTTTTTTTAAGAAGGTCAAAAATCACATTATGGTGAATTTGACGTTTTTCGCTGTGAAAACTACCGAACTCGGTAATGGAACGGTTTGTTTACCGAAACTTCAGTAAAATATTTCACTGAAGTCAGTGATGAAGCTGATTTACAAATCTGCCGGTAATTTTTTTTTACCGTCTTCGTTGAATTGAAATGAAATCACCGAAATTCGGTGAAATTTACAGTTTTCAGCAATAGAGCGAGAAAATACCGAAGCATCTGTAATTTTTAGGATTACCGATCTAAGACGGTAATTTTTTTTACCGAACTCAGGGTCTCTGTTTAAGTGTGCAGCACACTTCCAGATTTAAAAAAAAAACATGATGTTTTCAAATCCAGTGCGTATTTAGTAATAGTGGAACAGTGTTTTTGATTAACATGCGGGTCGATATGTTTGGGAAAAGCATATTTGGGAGTTTTTCTTCAGGCTCTAGTTTAACCTATCTTCCCCGTGATCGGGGGGG